TTGCTTTTTTGAAGTCACAGACCTTTGATATAATGCTAACATGTTTTGATTAGTTTCAACTTAAATTTTAAATTGATGTAGGCTGTTTGACTCTGTGGTTAAATGATTTTCAAGGTAAAGGTCTTTATCAAGTACAAAATCTTTGTTGCTGATTTGATTTTTTATTCAGAACATAAAATATTGAAAAAAATGTTCTTATCATTGGAGTGAAAGAATTGTTCATTTTAAGTGTCATTGGTGTTCAGGAGAATAAGATTGTTGGATGAAACTTGTGAATAATTTTTGTTGTAATTTGTTGATAAATGTTGGTGTTTGAAGGTAAATGTGAATTGGAAAGATGCATGGTATTGCTTTATATTTTAGGTGTAAAAAATACAGATGTTGGAGATGTGACAGAGAGAAAACAATTAAGAGAAAGATTAAAATGCAAGAGTTTTAGATGGTATCTAGAACATATATACCCAGAGTCCCAGATGCCTTTGGATTATTACTCTTTAGGAGAGGTAAGTGGATGTTATTGTATGTTCTTCTATTTTGAAATGTATCTTTTGTATTTAGGATCCCATATGCTAGGCTGTACATGCTCACACTTGCCCATATACCCCCCCCCACCCACACACACACACACACACACCCCACACACACACACACCCACACACACACACACCCACACACACACACACACGCACACACACACACAAACAATTTTCAAAATTGCAAATAATGTTTACATGCTTGGTATTTACAGGGTGGCCTTGGATGGAAGAAAAATGGTGTTGTTCTCCCCCCTCCATCTGGAAAGGAGCAAGAAACATCCTCAGAGTTTTGGTCAGATGGCAAGCGTCCTATCCAACTGCGGTAAGTCCAGTTTGTTTGATAATTTATGCATTGTTTTGTTGGGCATGCTGAAAAGAATATTATTCAGAAGTTTTGGTCCTTTTTTTCTGGATGTACAAAGTTATAAAAAAAAGATGTTGGATTCCCAACACAAGAATATATGCTGGCCACTGATAGATCATGTGATAGCTAGATCACCATTATGTGTAAATGGTATGAATATAAATTCTGATCTGACTACATAGAACCTTAAAATGAATATAAAAGTGAAGTATATATACTGGGTAGTTCTGGGAGTAGTTTTCATAAAATCAAAACATTCTTATATTGGTTTGTACCAGTAACCATGCTGTTTGTGCGGAGGTGGTCCCTACATCCGAGGAGTCCAGGAAATCCTGGGTGATCAACAATTGTCAGGCCGAGAGACCATATATGTGTAAAAAACCTGAAGGTAAGAAATAGAAAAAATGATTCAGAATTATGAAAAAGGTGAATTGTGTGGGAAAATATGTACTGGCATGGTCCTGCACAAAAGTAATAATGCCAATGAACCCCCCACCCCCACCCCATTTTTACTTTAGGAAATGGGCACATAAAGTGATAAGGCTCCATACTTAAATATTCCACAGACTTTGTTTAGTGTATTTTGGAAATATTGTTATCACAGATTTGTCAGAATTTTTTTCTCCATTTTGTGTGATCCACGACATAATTTCCATTTTATAGGCACATGTGCCACAGGCTGGCAGCCACACAATGGAACATGTTACCAGTTCAATGGGAACCTCAAACTGTCCTGGTATGATGCTGCCACTTATTGTCAGTCACAGGGAGGAGAGATGGTCACCATAGAGAGGTCAGATATGATGGTGTTCACTTAACCAGTTCAGTTCAAAACATAGGGAAGAATTTTTGAATACTTTGAGTATTTCTGTCACTGTTCCTTCTTGGTTATGAGCTTGGGGGTCATTTTGGGCCTAGTACCATTAAGCAGTTGCTATTTCATTAGCAAGCCAAAAAGTTGGTTTTCTGTCACTGGAATTGAGTCTTTATGCTAGAAAGATCTCCAAAGTATCCCAAATATTGAGCTAGGAGTACCAAACACACTGTAATTCTGATTCTGTTATCTTTCTACCTTCCAGGAAAGATATACAACATTTTTTGATAAGAAAAATAGGTGGCTTAGAATTTGATAAAAATTTGAACATTTGGATAGGTGGCTCTGGTAAGTGTACATGGTTTAAGTTCCCAAAATTTCAGAAACTCATTCAGATGATTAGGAGAAGCTAAAATGTTTCATATGTGCCAATTATTAATCTTTTTAAGTTCCAGTTAACAAGTAGATAGTACTTCTTTGAAATAACTTATTAAAACAGGTTTTAAGTTTAAAGACTTACTGTATTTCGATGCTACAGAAATTTGTCAAAAATTTAAAGATTTATGAATGAAAATAAATTTGTTCTTGTATTTTGCCAGATATTGACTACAAACCAAAAACCCTGCACTGGAGCAACAAGATGGCCATGAGTGGTGGCTACACCAATTGGTTGGCTGGTCAGCCTATGACCAGTGCTAATAACCCACTCTGTGTACAGATGACTGCAGGTATAACTGTTTATTGGCTAGAATAAACTGAAGTGAATTATATGATGGACAAATGGCTTGATAGATTACGTGATTTATAAATAGATAGAAGTATCAGGAAATAGTTATAGTGTTAGCCAATGTACTGCAAGCAATTCAGAGTCCTGCCAGACTGGAAAACGATGTAGAAACCCATAAGCTGTGAAAAAAAAAAAAACAGAAGAAAGGAAGTCATTATATCCTTTCATGTTTTTAAATGTACCACAACAAGTAGTATTTGCAGGATTTGAACTCTGTATTTATTTATTGACAAATAAAATGTTGTAAAAATGTCAGCTAATATACCTGTATTAAAGACAATTTTTTTGTAATGTAACAGAATCTGAACCAGACCTGGACTTACACTTATGGGATGTTCTCTTCAATTGTGATTTTTGTTCAGCCTATAAGTATCTGGGTGTTTTGGTCAATGTGCGCCCAAAAATCACATTTAAAACTTTGTCCCACAGAAAATAGTCTCAACCAACACAATGTTCTGTACATCTAACACACTCTCTTCTCTTCCTATTGTTTTGACTTAGAAGATAATTTCTTCTTCCAGACCAGGGTAACTGGACAGCCAGTGAGCGCTGTACGGCTGAGCAGACTTTCATCTGTCAGATTTCTGACAGAAAAGTGGTCCTCCCTCCCACTGTGGCACCAGGTAAGGCACCCCCCTTACTTTTAACATGTCCCTGATATTATTGATAAATTTTGTTTTCACAATTAATGAAAAATTAAGTTCAGGAAAATAAATTACATAAGAAATTTAAGAGTTTGAAATAAATGAGTAATTATTATTATATTATATTTTATCTTTAACTTTTCTAAACATGTCTTTGATATTTTTGAAAAAATTAATTTAATTCAACATTTCATGTTGAATTAAGTTCAGAAAAAATCAACTACATACAAAAGAGAAGAGATTGAAATAAGTAATTACTATGTGCAATCATTAATGTAATAAACCATAATGAATAAAGTACTAATTCTCTTGGCTGCATGCACGAGTGCCCATATAAATATAAATGTGGTCTTTATTATGTCTATGTTAGCTAAGGGCAGCTGTGAGCCTGGTTGGGAAGGTTTTGCCTTCTCTTGTTACTACTTCAGTGGGGAGACTGCCAGTTGGCTGGACGCTCAGAAAGCCTGTCAGAACAAAAATGCTCACTTGGTGAAGGTGAACAATGCCAGGGAAATGTCTTTCATTGACCGTAAGTTGATATGGGATCTATAAAGATACATTTCATTCTAACTTAATTTTGTACATTGCATTAGCTAATGAAATATCAACGTGTTTCAGAATTGGTTAAAAATTATGAGTGCTGTGCTGCGATGTAAACATAAGGCCCATTTGTTGCTCACTGTGGTAAATAACTAAAGTTAAGTAGTAAAAGAGCAAGTCAAAATATATATGATTGATAATTTAGCTTTTTCGCAAGGCTGCATTTTATAAAAAGGACATATGAAAGATTTGTAAATGATAGATAAATATATTAATGGTTTTGAAAAAAAACACGCAAATTTTCTTTTGAGAATAAAGTAAAAATAAGAGATGCAGAACAGATGAATAAAATAAGGTAACAGTGATATTTATCAATGTTGATATCATGTATTTTAGGCAAATTAACAGCAGACTCTTGGCTTGGACTTAATGACCGCCAGTCAGAGGCACACTGGGTGTGGCATGATAAGACACCAGTGAGTACATGAACCTGGGCCCAGCTTGACTCACGTAATAAGTCAAAATAAGTCAAAGTTCTAAAATTGAAAACATTAAATTTTCTGTTTTTCATTCTTAGACTAGGAAAAATCAGTGACTGTCAAGTTGAATGAAGTAAATGTACAAGTAAGTCATTAGCATAATCGTACAATGTACTGTGTTATATTAAATAAATTTTGTGAATTGTTTAATCCTCTGTCCTAAAGGCAAAATATACTAACTGGGGCCCAGGGAAACCAGACAATGCAGAGTATCGTCATGGTGAGCAGTGTGCTGCCGTGATGAGAGGACACCTCAAGGGACTCTGGGACGACATGATCTGTTCTGATAAGTTGGCCTATGTATGCCAAAAAGATATCGGTAGGTGCTTCAGTATAATTATGTTCATAAATGACTGAACTCACTGTTGTCTAACATCAAATGCTTTTTTATTTGGCTGCAGAAATGTAGAATATTAATTTCGTAATTGTGATTTGCCTGATATTATTTGGGTTGAAAAAGTATTATGCTGGAGAGGGAACAGAGAATGAAAACTGACGGAACATGTGATAAAGCACCACCAGATAATTTTTTCATTTAAGATCCATGTCTATTTGGAGGAATTTTGAGTTGGATTGGTCTATTTACAATTGGTCCATGAACTGGCATATTTGGGTAATTTCATCTAATTCTAATTTTGACATTATTATTATTATTATTATTATTTCCTGTTTCTAGGACCTAAGACCACTTCAGGACCAATCACTATGGGACGTAAGTACATGCATTTAGTGTTTTACTTGTTTGTACAGAAACAAAAAAGAAAACTCAGAGTTTGCTCTGAAGTGAACTTGACAAATACTTCAGACCCAGATTGTCTTGTTTTCTAAGCAAGTTTTTAAAATGCCTTTACCAAATTTTAGACTTTAATACTTAAAAATTACCCCAAGACTTGTAGTGAAATGCAAATCAAAAGTGGATATAGATGAATGGATACATTTAATTAAGAATAAAACTAAAAAAAATTACAAGAAGGGTTAATGATAGAATGACTTTTCTATTTGGTGATTTCCTTCAGCTTCATATGGCGCAAAATGTGGCCCTTTCTGGGAGGACGACACATTGAGTGACTACTGCTATCAGTTTAACACGGATACATTGTCATGGACAGAAGCACAGCTACAGTGTCAACATAATGGAGGAGAACTGACCAGTATCACTGGACTTCACGAACAACAGTATATTGCAGGTATGATCTTCTTGGAGAACCAAAAAAAGGTCAAATTTGACCTCTGAGCGATGCAATGTTGATTTGTGGCCATCGTGTTTTTAAACAAACAAAACAGACACAGTCATGCATGCACACACACTTGCACACACATACTAGGAACACATTAAGATCTAACAGTTTAGATGTTTTAAGCACTAAATACACATCGAGAAAGTATTTTTTGTTTTACTTTTTGCTGTGAATTAGATGGTGTTAATTTCATTTTGACAAACTGATTAGTAGCTGTTGTTCTCTCTTATTTTAATAAAAAAAAAAAAAAAATTCTCTCTGGCATTAGGAAGAATACGTATGATCCCAGAGATGAGATATTTTTGGCTTGGAGGAAACGATCTACGATTTGAAAATGGATGGGTCTGGAATGATGATTCTCCCTTTGCTTTCATTAACTGGGGCGACGGTAAGGTTTAGGCATATCTACCAGTTAATTAAGGTACTAGTGCAGTGTTTTTTGAACCAAGATTTCCCATACAGGAATTCATTAACATCCGTTTTGCATCATCATCTTATAACGTGAATTAGTTGTACAGTTTTGCTTTTCATTTAGCAGTAGTTTTAAAGTGTTGTATATTGCACAAAAGCATTAATTTAACATATGAATCATATCTTTATTTAATCATGATTTAAATTTAGTGATATCACTCAAGATGTCTTACAAATCATTTATTTATATCTAATAGTATACACTTATGGCAACTTCTGACTACTGCAAGATCCAAAGATGTTTTATTCCTAGATTTTACATATGTAATATCTTTTTTTATGATTAAGTGATTAATTAAAATGAAAAACAAAATTAATGGAGATTAAGGACCCAACAGGTAATAAGTCAAAATATAATTTAGGTACAGAATTCCTGTGACTACAATAAGACTTTAAAATTAAATCAAATGTTATTGTATTTTATGTCATACTTTCACTTCAGGCCAACCCGAGTCTGGCTGGAATGCAGACTGCATGGAGATTGACGCATCTACGGGTGACTGGAAGGACAGGGACTGTAAAAGTAGAAGAGGATATATATGCAAGAAGAAAGGTAAATGTATTCTACTAGGACATGTACAGGATGCATGGCAATAAGACCATGAGGGATATAGCTACTGGAAAAAGGTCATGGTAGACTACTAGTAGCTACAGTGGCAGTGCATAAAAGCTGAAAAAACTTGCAAGTCATGGATAATTTCCTAGATTTTTTTCTTAATTCCTGCTGGATTGTAGTCAATTGCACAAGATCATGAATTCTCTGTGTTTTGCATTTCACTTTATTGATTTCTAATATGGACTTCAAGAGTTTGACCCTTATCAATTAAACCCCACTTCAAGCACATTTTAACACATGAATCTTGAATGATGCTCATTATAAAATGGTGTACTTTGCTTTCTAAATTTGTAAAGAAAATTATAAACTTTGTTTCAGAAGTACTGTAGACTTATTCTAAGTTTTATTATGTTTGTTTGATATTCATCTTACTTGATTTTATGTGTTGCCTTAAAATAATCCTTTAAAAAATCTTTTAGGCTCTGGTCTATCCACAACAACTACCACATCAACTACCACAGAACAACCAGGTAGGTGCAACTGAACACTTATATAAAAGGATTAATATTGTATTAGTGCATGTACATGCAGATGTATGATGTGTATTCTGATGCAAGTTTATTGTCTGTGTCACAATTCCAGTGTGGAAAGTATTTAAGTAGAGTGTGGAAGAACAAGGGATAATTGGATTTTTAAGCATTCAGTTAAGTCAGTTGCAGTATGCCTGCTGAATAGCATTTAAAGTTTTTCAAGGAAAAAAAAAAGACTACAAAATTTATACCTAATAATGTTTTTGTAAATTATTTTCTCAAGGATCTCCATATTGCCCCAAAGAGTGGAGCCTGTATGGCAAGAGTTGCTATAAAGTTTTCCAAGAGAAGAAGATGTGGAACTTGGCCAAAGATGTGTGCAGACGAGAGGGGGGTGACCTCGTTTCCATTGCTGGGGAGAATGAGGCCAACTTTGTGGCCGCATTGGCAGGAGAATGGAATGGTAAGGAGATTATCAAGACAAAATAAGTGAAAAATATGGAAAATATTTGAGGCAGAACTGGTTGACAGATGGAGGGGTTGGCTTACAAAAACGTATTCTTGATTTTGACTTGAAAAGATAAAATAAGTTGTTGTTTTTTTGTTTTTTTTTTTCATGTACCTTGACATTTTTGAATACATTGTATTTGGTATTGTATTCTTTATTTTAATCAGATGACAAGTCAGAATTCTGGATTGGACTCAACGCACTTAGAGTTGTGAACCTGTTTGAGTGGTCTGATGACTCCAGTGTAACATACACAAGCTGGAGACCACACGAGCCTAACAACCACCAGGGGAAGGAGCGCTGCATTAGTCTCTATGCTGATGGGTACAATGTGAGTCAAACGTTTTTCAATAAAAAATTATCAGCTTGAAGTTAAATTTAATGTGCTAATGCCCTGGGCTGTTCATGAAGAATGTTAATAGGAACTGACATGTCTTCATAGGGGTAGGGGAGGGGGATTCTCAACACAGTGGCATATCTCTAAGAGTTGTTAAAATGTGTTTCACATTTACTTCACGTACATAGGGGAATTTTTGAAACATTTTTGAAAGGGATAATTCATATTATGACAGTTGTATGTATAGGTGCCTTTATTTCAGTTTTTGACTTTTACATTTTAACTGTAATTTAGTGTAATACTGCACATGCAATTGTATGACAAATTGCATGCTTATTTCTGTCTCAGTTGATTGTTATATATATTGCATTAATTTTATTTGATATTTGTTTATTAATTTATCTGTATTCATTTTCTCCTTTTTCTTCTCATTATTATGTAATTTTATTCTCAGATATAATGTACTGATTAATTATTTCATGACAATTAACAGACTGGGAAATGGAACGACAATGACTGTGCTCAGTGGCTCCCCTACGTGTGCAAGAAACCAGCGCCAAGGATGGTGAACCCTCCTCCTGTCACCTACACAGGGTGCCCTTATGAGGTACTGCTTGTATTATCACTTAAGCTATGTGGTAATTCTGTATTTAAACAAAATTAGGTACAATCGTATGTTGGTGCATTTGGGTATCCATCAAAAATATCAGTAGAGACTTTTCTTTTATGCGTAAAGATGCCCTCTGAACTCTAAATGGTGTGTTTCACTTCTTGCATAAGAGGACTTAATTCTCAGTGTATGATACACATTCAAATAATGATATAATACTTATTATCGTTATTGTATTGTATTTTAATTTTTTTATGACTACAGAGAGCTACTGGTGCTTACAAAGGGTCCTGTTACTCTGTTTTTGCCACTGGAGCTACCTGGCATGGTGCGGAATGGGCATGTAATAGTACCGGAGGCTACCTGGTGGCCATCAATGACCAGTAAGTACTGAGATCACAGGAGAACTTCTTAACAAAGAATATGGTCTTAACTTATTATTCAGGCAAACTCTTTCCAAAGTCATTTTTAAAATCTTTTTTTTTTTTTTTTTCGCACAAAATTTTCATCCTTTACTTGTGCAGCGGAATTCTTTCATTGCTTTTCTTAGCCTTGAACAAGCCTATATCTCAGGACAGATAGGGGGGAGACTGACGGTGAACATGGAGTTCTGGACTGGTCTCAGCAAGGGCGGGGAAGGCACTTCATATGAATGGATCTCTGGGGACTGGGTGTCCTTTACTAACTGGGACGATGCTCATATGGGTATGGCAATTACTCTTAAATTTCAAGCACCTTTTTTATGTCAGTATTTTAGATTTTTCAAAGTATTATTTCTTGGTTACTTACGGTGATTTCTTTGTACATTATAACAGATGAGTTTATTGGAGAGAATAGGGCTAATTTAAGGAGAGGCAGATTTTTATAATCCTATTTATTGTCACTTTAAGTGAAAAAAAAGAATGGCCCTTTTTTAGGTAATGAGAAAGATGTCTGCGTGGTGGTCTCCAAAACTTACAAGTCTATTGGAGAATGGTCTGACAGGAATTGCAATGAAGAGAAATTCTTTATTTGTGAATACAAAAAGGATGGCTATCTACCCACCCCAGCAACTACCACTCCTAAAGGACAGTGCCCAACAAAATATGGCTGGAGGGAATATGGGAACTATTGCTACAAGGTTGGTGAACTACCATTTTTTCTTTCACTTTTTTTTGCCAGCACTAAAAGATCTCAGGATTTTTCTCTGTATGGTAGGGCAAGACCATCAAATGCTTGGTTGGACGTTCAAGAAATATGTATCAGTAGTTAGACCTTATAAATGGATTAGGTGTTTACTAACACTACCTGCAGATCTTTTAGCACTAACACCCATATTAACAATATAACATTTTTTTCCAGACAGAGAGTTTTTACGGCAGGTCAAAGAAAACCTGGTCTCAGGCTCGTGAATACTGCATTGCAATAGGGGGCGATCTGGCCAGTTTTCATAGTGAAGATCAGATGAGAAATGCAACCTCCATTTCTGCATCCAGGTGAGGATTTTTAAAACAATGCTAAAATATGAAGTTGTACAAGATTTATCTTTTCCTGCACAATTGTTAAGATAGTAATGATTTTTAAAAAAATGTACTTAGCAACAGTGATTTTTCAGTTCTATGCAAATTATAATGACTCATTTTAAAAGGACACTTAATTATAGCTACAGTATATGAGGGTGATTTTTTTTTCTTTAGGTAGAGCAAGTTTTGTGGTGATAAATAACCATTCTTATGGAAATAAATAAAAATAAAAGTGTAATTCTAAAAAAATGCACAAATAATTTCCCCTATACCATTGAATTTACATTTAATTTAACTATTTATAAGTATTTAAATATTACTAATGTTTTCAGTCGATACACTGATCTCTATTGGATTGGCCTATCAAAACCCACTAAGAGTAGCAACTATGTTTGGAGTGATAACTCGGCTTTGGATTATACTAACTGGAAAGCAGGCGAACCAAATGACCACAATGGGCGTGAACAGTGTGTGGAAATAGACAAATATGGCGGAGAATGGAATGATGTCAACTGCAATGCTAGAAGAGATGTGATGTGTCAGATAAGAAAAGGTATCGTTAGGATCAAAAAAAGTTATAATTGGAAAAACATACTGAACATACTGTCTTAAACTGTACACAATATAGCTATTATAGTAGTGAGCTGCGTCTTTTGTTTATTTAGAGCCCAAAATTGGTTCAGTTTGTGTGACCAGATCATATTGAATTGTCAAGTTGTTTTATACATTTTTTAACGTGGATCAATATCTGAGCTGATTATGTCTTGTGTGAATGCAGTTTAACTATGTTCAATGTATCATAAAATATTTAAGCCAAATGCTAATGATATACTTTTCTGGTTAATGGAAAATTTAATAGTAATCTTGCTAATATTTATACAGATTCTTCCTAGTCATTCATTTATTCCATGTTACCTGCACTAATTAAGCATGAGGAGCATCAACTTCTTATGAAAAGATAATGCTTTAATTGCATTACAAGAAGATTCAAAGGATTTAATTAAATTAAAACCTTTATGATGGGCAAACGTTTTGATATTTAAACTTGTTGCTACTTTGGAAATTTCAATCTACATCTCACCACAGTACTGCTAAAAGAAAACTTAGTGCAGTTAAATGTGCAAGCGTACCAATTTTTTTGCACCAAATAACATGTATGAGTTCTCACAGAACTATTTTTCTTGGTGTTCCAGGTGACCCTCTGTTGACCACAATGTCCACTGTTTCACCAACTCCAGGTAAGACAACAGCATGGCAGTGGTTTTAATCAGTTTCAGGTGCAAATTATGCATTTCTTACCTGGGTAACACTGCGGTGTTTTTCTGCCTTGACTGATGTTAGCATAACCCATTCCTTCTACTAGCATAAGATAAATAAAGCCGCCTTTTTGGTGCTTAAATTTTTTCGAAAAACGATAAAGAAAGTTCTTCAACCTGAAAGCACATTTCACATGTACAACTGGTATAGTCTTAATTTGTATAGACTTCATCAACCCGAAGTCGATCTAGTGGAGGTGTGGTTTGTGACAGTTGTCATGATGAGGCATTCTTACTATTATCTAACTCATTATGATATTATCATTTAAAAATATGTTTCTTCTTATCATTTTGTATTAATATCTTAACATTTTGTCTGTGAAGCTCCAACCTGTGGCTCTGATTCTGATTGGCTTGCGCACAAAGATTACTGCTACTTCATCAGTGGATCATATGGCTCTGGGACAAAATCTTGGTATGATGCAAGGAAATACTGCATGCAAAATGGCGGAGATCTAGCCAGTATACATGATAGCGACGAGAATGATTTCCTGCTTTTGGAGGTGAGAATGTATTGTGCTAGGTTTGTAGTCATCATACTTTTTTGTCAGAAGTCCCACTGCAAAGCTTTAATTTTCATTTTAAGCTAGCTTTTTAATATGGCATAAAATACTTTTAATTATTCATTGGTCTCCATATGCTCATAAAGTATCATTTCTCAGGCTGGTATAATATATAATGATAAAAAAGATTTTGAACCAAATGTTTTCATTCTGTTTTCACACTTGGAAAAAAGCCGCTTTGCCAGACAACTACAGGTTTATTTGATTATGTAATTTATCATTTCCATTTTACTTTCTTCAGACAAGCAAGAATTCAAAACAGAAGTACTGGATTGGCCTAAATGAGCTAGATTTACAAAGCTACAAGTAGGTTTGGTCTGTTTCCTGAATATTTGATAAAAAAGTTTTACTACTGGAAGAACAATGTACAGTACCTGTACATTTTGAAATGTTGGTATTTTTTCCCCAGAATTTATGATTGATATTATAGCATGTAAGAATTGATTATTTTGCTAAATATGGAACATCTAATGTGCAGATGGTCTGATGGAACACCAACTGACTTCATTTGGTGGGAAATAAACGAACCCAACAACTTCTTGGGAGGACAGAAATGTGTGGACTTTTACACCAGCACAGGTTAGTGGTACATTTCTGATTCATTAGTGAACTAATTAATTATTAGTAAATTGATAATATGTCTTTGGTAGTTTTATGTGAAAAATTATGAAAATAAATTGGATAATTATGAATAGCAGTTGCATTTTCAAAAGATTGGAAGTACTGGGTGTGCTTCGCTTCGGTCTCATTGAATGAGCTTGTAAATGTACATGTATCTTTAAAGCAAATTTCATAGTGTTTGGAGAAAAAATATTTTATAAATTTTGACTTATTTCTATAAGCAAAACACAATTGTAGATTCTTCATCATGCAGTTCTGATAACCTTCATAACTATGACTTAAGCCAAAAAAAAAAAAAACACAGTTAACTAAAGATTCATAATGAATGGTAATGAAATAACTTATTTAACTACTGACAGGACATTGGAATGATGACAATTGTGGTGACTTAGAGAGCTACATCTGCAAGAAGCACAAGGACAGCAGGACGACAGCCACCCCAGCCCCCACCCCAGTACTGCAGGGAAACTGTCCACCAGGCTTCCAGGGCATTGGTAGGTATAGCAGTGGTGATTGTCATGATATGGCATTGTGTGGTATATGACATTATATTGTGTGGTATGGCATGTTATTGTGTGGTATGACATTGTGAAGTATGACTTGGCTTCGTCTGGTATAACATGACATTGTGTGGTAGGCCATGGTATTGTTTGGTATGACATATGACATTGCGTGGTATAACATGATATTGTGTGGTAGGGAAGGGTATTGTTTGGTATGACATGATATTATGTAGTATGAAATGACATTGAATGGTATATATTTATTAGACATTGGTATGTCTTGGCAGATCATGTGACCTGATATTTTATGGTATTTTTTGGCATTATGTGTATGGTACGGAACGGTATGGTATGGTATGGTATAGTGTGATGTGGCATGACATTTAATGGTATTAAAGGCCCCACCCCTATACTGTAGGGAAACTGTCCACTAAGCTCCAAGCCTCCAGAGCTTTGGTATGTAGTAGTCCTGGCATGACATGACATTGTGTGGTATAACATGACATGGTGTCTTATGACATGACATTGCTAGTTAATATTTTTACTGCTAGCAACATTTCTTCATGATTCACTTTCTAATTTCCAGGCAACAAGTGCTTTATGTTAGTAGGGGATGATGTTGATTCCAGCCAGCTAAAGAACTATACAAACGCAGTCGCTGCCTGCGCGGCACTCAACAAAAAGTATACACTAGCCAGTATAACTAACCCACTGGAACAAGGTAGGGAAATTAGCATTTTCTTTATGTTGTATGTACAAATTGCCATTGGATTGTCTCCACTGAGTGAAAGGGTACCTTACTGGACATTTTGTCTCTTCTTAATGACAATGTGTTGGGTAAGACAGTTAATTAAGTAAGTACCATGTAAATGTTTGGTATACTGTTTTAAAAGTATAATGTTTTTTGTATGAATGAATTCTGGTAAAATAAATATCATGGCAATTTTGTCTTTAACAAGTTTAGAAGGCACATAGCTTTAAGAGATGTGGTAAAGCACATGCACTACATTGTGTACATGTAGTGCATGTAATGTTGAAAAATTTTATCTAATGAATTATTTTAATCACTCTTACAGTTCAAATATGGTCAATTATACCTGGATTTCATTATGATATCAAGAATTGATAATCATATCTTTCCTACTTCCAGCTCTGGTGACTTCAATGTTGAAGGGTAAAAAAGTAGATTTTTGGCTGGGCTTAAACAAGCTTATTTTGCGAAGGTTCCAGTGGACTGACAACTCTCAGTTTGACTTCACATACTGGGACTATGGAGAACCAGATGGATCTTCTTATGGAAGTGACAGGGTCAGTGATTAAAGTACAATTTATAAAAATGTGACCATCTTGCTCTTGACTTTGCATTTGACTGCCAAATTGAAACGGGTTTTGAATTAAAATCATTCAAGTTTTGTGTTGAGATCAGTGAGAAATTTATTTTTAAAATCTTCACAACTGTAAAAAAGACTTTTAGCTTATTAATGGTATTGATTATTAATTACAGCTACATTGAAAATATACATTAAATTCTAGACTTTTATTTTCATTTAACACCTAATAGGAAGACTGTGTCAGTCTCACCACTAGTGGAAGTTCAGCCGGACACTGGCGTGATCGAGATTGCGACCTGAAACTGGGATATCTGTGTGAAACCTGGAAAGGTAGGGGTTTGTATCTTGAAATATTTAATAGATATTTAATGGTACGTTTTCACCTGAATTTTGATACGAACATTGCAAAAATGTAGTGTTAACATCATTAATTTCTCACTTTATTCAGAAAAATACTATTTTCAAAAAGTTTTAATAACTGATTTCATTGGCTTATCTTTACATTGTACCATATATTTTACTATCTTAATATTTTAAATGTCTATTTATTTATTGCCTTTATTTATGTTATTATGTTCATTTTACTTTTGTAAAGTCGACTGATCATTTTTAAGGATTTTAGACTAATAATAAATATATTTTTTTTTCAATTTGCTATATAAAGTCTAATGCTCATTTTGTGATTTTTTAATAGACCCAAGTCAACCAGCGCCACCTGTCACCCAATCTCCTGCTTCATGTCCTCGTGGCTACGACACATACGGCAGTGACTGTTACCAAATGACGGCAGCCATGACTTGGGACAATGCCAAGGCTACGTGTGAGAGGCAGGGAGATAAGCTGGTCTCTGTCCTGGACAGTTATGAAGAGGCCTTCCTCATTTTATACACTCAGAGAACTAAACCACAACCCGTTTGGCTTGGCATGAAGAGGAATGGGGTAAGGGGAAAGACAGCGCTTTGTGTTTCCAGGTTAATAGAAAGATTATGAAGAATTAGCACTGCAGATGTGCTTTTTTATCTGCATCTGTAAAAGTGTGCCAGTGAAATTATGATATTTTTCCAACAAATTTTACTATTGTTCTCAGAGTTTGTTAACTGTTTACTTTTAAATAATTTAATGGGATTAATTGAATACTAACATTGATTTTATTTATTTACGTAACAGAACTGATATTGGAAAGAATTGTCTTCATTCAAGTCAATATCCAGAAAAGATCATATTCCAAGTCATCATTTGTTTTATTTTATAATTATCTAAAATATTTTAATTACCATAATTTGGCATGTGTTGTGTAGCGATCCTACTACTGGGATGACGGATGGCCCGTGGACTATGCCAACTGGGCCAACTCAGAACCGTCACGTGAAGATGCAGAAATGTGTGTGGCGCTGATGCCAGATGGGCGCTGGAATGACACTGTATGCAGTGCTTCAATACAGGCAGTGTGTAAAAAATCTTCAGGTGAATATGATATTGTCATAATAGTTCTGACTGTTAGTTTTTTACTCTATCGGTTGAAGAGATTGTTATCCCTACTTAAAGTAACAATGACTAGTAACATGCAATACAGTGATATTGGACAGTTATTTGTTACTTTATTGTTAAAATGACTTCTTTCAAGGTATGTCTTTATATTAAACTATTAATTGTCAATGAATAAAAAGCAGCATTTTTATAATCAATAATAACAGCTCATTTACATTTTTAATTGATAATTTCAGCTGTTCCACCATCGGCTGCCACAGACAGTCCCGGATACTGCCCAGATGACAAATCGTGGTTCAAGTACGGTTCCTACTGCTACCTGTTGAATGGCAATGCTTGGGACTCGTGGCCAGAGGCAAACCATGAGTGTTACCAGCTGGGAGCCTCACTGCTGACTGTGACCAGCCAAGAAGAGATGAATTTTATCAAGAAGATAGTGCGAACTGAGGATATACGTGGACGTAACGTATGGATTGGACTTTTAAAGAAACCTGGAGGTAAGAGGATGTGGAAAGTTGAGTGGATTGGGAGATAAATAACCTCTTATCAGGTATAATTATAATAATCAGTGAAATGTAAGGGTATGGCCTTGTATTTGGAAATGATAACTTTATCTCTATTTCTTAGCTTTTTGCCTTCCACCTTTTTATTACAAGTAAGAGCAAGAGTTTTGCCAGTGGATTTCCCAAGAAATGTTCAAACAAAAACAGGAAAATCAGAAGAACATCTTTGTGTGTTTGGGTGAAGGAGGGGGGATTCTTACTTTTACATCACTTTCTGTACCCATGCTTTCCCAAACTGCACTATATATTAAGGTAATATATATATCACCTCTCTATTTTCTAGGTGCCTTTGGTTGGTATGACAATACAGCGTTAAGCTATGTGAACTGGGCCACTGGTGAGCCAGCCAAGGATGAAGACAAGGGCTGTGTGTCCATTCACCCAGCCAGTGGGAACTGGGAACTGGAACAGTGCTCCTACTCCAGGGGATATATATGTAAAATAGCCAAGGGTGGGTGTCAATCTAACATGTCAGTTTGGTTTGGATCTGCAAAAAGATATGTCTCATGTTTCATTTTTTTTTTTCAGTTGTCCTTTGATTTGATATTGTATTAACTTTCAATCAGTAAATGATCATGAATAATAAGAAAATAAAAAAAGATGAATATGATTGTGAAATTTAAATTTCACTTGGCAATGCCTGAAACTTTATTAAGACAGGTAGAGTTAACATAAGCTTGAAGGGTATTTATCTAACTTGACTGGAAGGCTTTTGAATGATTTGATTTTTTTCCTGAAAATGATTTCATCTTGTGTTCACAGTGCCTATCTCCACCACCCCTGGCCCATCCTGCAGATCTGGCTGGTACCTTAGAGAAAACGTGTGCTACAAGGTTGGTGTGTGCTTAACATTGGAGAAAAAAATAGCAGAATTATCGAGAAGATTTCACATAAGATTTGTAGGGAAAATATCTAACATTAGAGGAAAAATAGTTACAAAACCTGTAGCAACATTGAGAAGGTTTAACATTAAAATGGGTAGGAAAATACTTAACATTAGAGGAAAACTACTGAAAAATATTTGTAAAAATATTGACAGGTTAATCGGTAGAAGAATAGTAAAAAAAATTTTAGCTAAGTATAGAAGGCATTTCTTGTTAACAGGCATGCTCGCACACACACACACACACACGAAAAAAAAAGAAGTAAAAGTTTTTAAGCTTGGAATTATCTTTTCAGGGCTTCTTTGAGTATGACTCCAACAAGAAATCATGGGAGGAGGCTCGCAGTTTCTGCCGTGCAGAAGGCGGAGATTTGGCTAGTTTCCACAGTGAGGCAGAAAAAAATTGGTACTTGGAGAATCTGGGATATTACTACAGGTAAAAAGCTTACATACTTGTTTATTTTACATGCAGCTATCTTTATTTAGTACGTGAAATTGTTTGTAATTATTCCTGCTTGATAGTTCTTCTACCAAGTTTTTGCACTGATTTTATCTTGTTTGTGTATAAGGACAATTTTTGTCGCAGCAAAAGTAATTTGTTTGATGTAGAAAATTTATCATATCTAAGTCTAACTTAGAATTCTATAAAACCTATTTACCGCTAATGGTAATTTAACCTTTAATATGTTCTATACTGGATTGAAATTTTGTTCTTTTTCTGCAGATACTCTGTTGGCAAAGAGCCATCATGGATTGGACTTCGCATTCCTAAAAATGGTAGGTACTTGCTCATTAAATTGGAACAGTGGAAACAAAACTTACCCAATTATAATTTTTTTTCATATGTCATGAATGAAGATCTAAAAATGACATTCATACTTAAGGGCATTCTAAAAATGTTGAATCCTATGAGAATTTAGATATTAGAATTTGTGATGTGTTTCAAATATGAAAGGAAATGATGTGTGATCCATGCAATGTCTGTCAATTGCAAGTAAAAGAATGGATTTTGAACTCAGAATACCTATTACAGCTGTAATTTAAGTCCACTCTAGGAAATATTATTATTATTGGTTTTAGTAATTAGTAATAATAGTAGTTGTTTTGATTCTTGCTTTATTATTATTATTATTATTATTATTATTATTATTATTATTATATCCAAAAGCTGCAAACAACCAGCACACCTGGTCAGACGGCACAGCGGCAGATTATTTCAGCTGGGAGAAGGGACAGCCAGACAACCACAATGGCAAAGAGAAGTGCGTCAGTATGATATCCAGCACAGGAGAGTGGCGGGACGATAACTGTGCTGGCGCCAGAAGCTGGGTATGTAAAGCACCGTATGGCGCCACACCGCTTCCCAGCACCACCACACCATCAAGCACTGGTGAGTTGTAGTTTTATGTTTAGTTTTTTTATTGTATGCAATGCTTGATTGATTTCTGATGATTATGTTTTAGATGTTTCTCATCTGTTAATTTAAGTTCTCTTAGTACCTATTAAAATTTTGCCCTTTATTTGCTCTATGTAAGAATTCTCATCGTAGAAAATTAAGAAATCTGAAATTAGGACTTATTAGTAGTTTTTTAGATATGAATAAATGTCTAGGTTTGATTTCCAATATGCCTATAATCTAGAGCAAAGATTATAATTTTCATCATGATTTCAATATCATTATAACCATTATTGGTATTATTATTATTATTAAAACATTATTGTTTTAGACCATGGTGAATGTGGTAAGAAATGGAGTCTGTTTGGGGATAACTGCTATTTCTTCAGCGAACTTTGGGGCGATAATTCGCGCGAGTCCTGGTTCAAGTCGCGTGAGTATTGCCTGAGCAATGCTGGTGACCTGGTCAGCATTCACTCTGAGGCTGAAGCCGATTTCGTTACGACGCTTGTCAGCAAAAGTCAGCACATGAAGTTGTGGGTTGGAGCCAGCAATTTTGACTTTGAGGGATACAGGTATGTGGTGGATGGCTTTTCTAGAATATTGCTACAGTGTATAGTTTAAAGTATATATATATATATATATGTACATGCCCAAGGCATTAATTGTACCACCAGCGTTAGCGCTGGCGGTACACATGGTTTCGGTCCCGTCCGGATCGTTCCGCCGGCTCCGCCAGCTCCGCCGGCTCCGCCGGACGGCTACCGTTACCGCTTCTCCTCCTAGACGGTAAGGGCCCCCGTACCCATCTCATGGATTTAGGTCACCTATAATCTCAACTCGTTCCACGTAAAATTTGGGCTTTGTCGGTATTGGGGTCTGGGTGTGGCACTCATTACAATGCACCCTTGTCTAAAAATGGCAAAATTAAATGCTAATTATCTACCCTACGGAAGGAGTTATGGGAAAAATTTCTATAGACGGCTTTCCAAAAGTCATATGTGTAGATTTCAAATATACCCTTGGATTTGACCTTTGACC